GGGGGGGGGGGTGCACTCCACAGTTCAAAAACCTCTGGTCTACGCGGTTGCAGTCATATACTGTTTGATTTGTAGTGTAGACACATTGTCTATATAAAAAGCTTTGGGTGAGAAGGGGGTTTAGTTTTAGCTAAATACTATTAGATCTTGGTCATATCGGAGAAAAGGTATATATTGCATTAAAAGGCGCTTGTTAAAATGTTTCAAATAAAAATATCAATGGTTAATACTTGGATATTTTTTCTAGAAAAGTCTAAAGATTGCATTCTTATTCATGCCTGTTTTCTGATTCCTAGGAAGCTACTTTGCCAAAGATGCTTCTTATTCCCATGGATATTGTGACCCCAACAGTAGCCACAAGACCATGTTTGTGGCTCAAGTGCTAGTGGGAGACTTTGTTCAAGGAAGTACAGAGTACCTGCGGCCTCCTTCCAAGCCAAAAAATCCAAACCGTTTTTATAACAGCTGTGTTGACAATCCAGAGTGTCCCTCGGTTTTTGTCATTTTTGAGAAGCATCAGATTTATCCAGCCTATATAATAGAATATGTTGAAAGGAGCAGTTGTGTGATCTTGTAAGGGACAGCAGTGGTTTATCTAAATGGCAACACTTAAATGATTTTGCACATTCCACATTTTTAAGAATATAGAATATATTGTAGCAGATTGTTGTGACACAGACTCTTCTTTTGGATGTTTTAAAAAAAAAACTTGATTTGCAACCAAATGGAAGCAGCCAACCTCAAAAGACTGACCTCTTGGTATGTGGCTAATTACACATGACTGATACAGCACCTGCTCTCAGCTGTGCTGGTGGATTAGAGCGAGATGTAGGTGAGGAATGCAGGAGAGCACATGGCCCACTGCCACGCAACGGAGTATTACAAGCTGGAAAAGATTCCTAACGTGCAGCGGAGATAAGGCTAGTCTTTCCTGCCTCCAGAAAAAGACTAGCACCTACACTTGTTATACATCGAGCCACAACCATTGGTGCATATGTAGGTCTGCTCAAAGGAGAAACAAAACATGCATTAAGCTCTTACTTCATTGAAGTTCTATATGGGAAAGCTTTTTACTGTGTGTTTTTTCTTCTCACCCTTGCTGTTCTAGCTAGGTCAGGATTCCTCCCATAAGAAGAAACATGCAGTATCCACAGGCAAATTTCCAGGACATCTGAGTCCTAATAACAGACTACAGCACTATTCTGTCACAGAAGACTGGAATATTTGTTGGTGTTTCCTTGAACTGAGGGGTGTGGTGGCATCTGCTACTGTGTCAGGAGCAGATGTCAGATTTGTGACATTGCTCACACCCAAGGGATGGCCAGAAGCTGAACCAATGTTTCCTTGAAATCTTTACTCCAGTTGATTTCTACCATTGACTGAGACTGTCCTTTTTAAGAACACGATCCCCTCTTTTGAATGGAAAAGTTCAGCCTTTCAGGCAAAGCTAAGTTGTTCTATAGCCACTAACAATGTAGCTGGCACAATCACTTTTTTTATTGATTGAGGAGAATCCTTAGAAAAGATTTGAGCCTGAGACCAAAAGGATTCATGACTTTATGGCCTGTTTCAATATTCAGTGCTCAAAAGCTTAATTTGGAATAGCACCAAAGATTGGATTCAGTAACATAATTCCAATTTATATCCTTTATACTATAATTTTTTGTTCCTGGTTTGGGAAGACCAAAGGACTGTAGTTTGGTTTAGTCTTTTTTCTTTTTCTTTTTTTCTTCTAATCCCTGCCCTCCCCCTTTTTTTTATCTTTTCTCCCCTGTTTTATCTTCTAACTTTCACAACAGCATAACAGAAAACTGCTTTTTGGTTTAACATGGAGGCCAGGATGGTTCCTTCCCTCATCCTTCCAATCGTTTCATTTTAGGTTAGAAGGACCACAGATATTTAAGTTGGAAACCCAATGACTCCTAATCATAATTGCATGCAATAAAACACCACTAAGATGGTAAAGCCAAGTCCTTGAAAACCAGGAGAAGTCAAAATTACTGGTTACATAGGCAACTTTGCCAAATTTTGGGTAGTTCCATAGTCCATCCCTGCTGTTGCACTGAAAATGTATGCAAAGTAGCAAGCAATTTGCATGCGTATCTTAAACAGCTACATGGAATTTGGCAGCTATGAACAGGGAGAATGTTTACTCTGTATATAAGAGGCAATAGACAAATTAGGGAACTTTTCTTTTCTTTTTTTTTGATGGATAAAATGTACTGCTAAACTTGCTTATTGCAGAGGGCTTTTTAAAATAAACAAATATCAAGTTATAAAACCAAATGTGACCCTCACAAACCAGTCAGTTTACTCTTTAAAACTACTATAATTGGAGATGACTGCACGTATGGTTTGTCCAGTCTTCGTCCTCTTCCCTCCCAGAACAGATTTACAATTCCCAGCAAGTACAGTTGTTGTGCTGACTGGAACTACTCATGAGCAGGGATCCTGGTTTTCTCTGACTTAAAGAATACCCTATTTTCAGTTTAAAAAAAAAAAAAAAAAAAAGTAACCCCAAACCCACACTTTTCCTTGATGTAAATGAAACAACACGAATCTATACCAGGATCCCTGCTCATGAGTAATTACTTGCATAAGGGTCCAATCCTGGAAATCTTTGGTTTCTGATCTGGCAAACAAGCATGTTCTTGCTTAACTGTACAACTAGGAGCAGCCCTAGTAAAATCAATGGGTGCGCCACCACATGCAAGCACGTGCGCTTGCAGCAGCTCAAATAGAAGTGGTGCAAATTTGAGCTGGGGCTTTCTGCCTCACTGCACAGGCAGAAAGCCTGTGTCATATGCACTTTGTTGTGGAGCAAATTGTGGCACTTGGGGCAAAATAACCCTGCCTGGCTTCTCCCGGATCTGCACCTAGGGGGAGCTAGAGCCTGGGGCTACTTGTGCTGGCCCCAGCAATATAAAAACCTTCCCTGGCCAGCAGCTCGGGACTACTTGCCCTCAGGAGCTTCTGAGGCCCAATCACTTGGTATATGGGGACACTAGCCCCTTGTGTCAGCTAGACTGCTGAAGCACGATCCCAAATCCACTTTTTAAAATACCCCAAAATCCACAGTCTTCCACAATTAGAACAAAAGAGAGAGGGGGCGGGGCAGGAATTGATCAGATGGGCAATGTTTTATTGCTATATCTACAATGTTAAAGCAATTTGGAAGCCTACCAGTGTCTCTAGCATCATAATTAAAACATATGGATATTTAGGATTTATTTTATGTTTGCTTTTGGTTTCCTTATCACATAGTGGTTGTGGGGGATGTGGGTGGGTGTGGAGGGAGGTGGGGGTTTGTGGGTCAGTGTAGGGGGACTGTGGGTGTAGTGTCTACTTAGGAGGGGTGGGTTCCCTGCCCCCCGCAGGGCAGAACCCCCGCCACACACACACACAGAGCACATGGACTACCCCGCGTGCAGGGTCCCAGCTCCTCTGCAAGGGATAGCCTTCCCCCCACAGTCCCCCTGTTGGTCTCCAGCCCCTGCTCATCTCCAGCCTTGGGAGGCTGGAGATGAGCAGGAGAATGACTGGAAGGCTGGAGACCACAGGGGAAGTCTCCAGCTCATCTTCACAGGCTCGTCTTCCGCCTCCTGCTCCTTCCCCTGCTCATCTCCAGTTTCATTCTCGTTCTCCTGCTTGTCTCCAGGCTTGGGAGGCTGGAGATGAGCAGGAGGCTGGAGACGAGCCCCTGGAGATAAGCTGGAGACTTCTGCTGTCTCCAGCCTCCTGCTCATTCCCCTGATCATCTCAAGCCTTAGAGGCTGCTACTAGTGCCGGTGAGTGTGGGGAAGAGGCAGAGGGAATGAACGGGGGGCTCAGGAATGAACGAGGAGTTGGGCTCAGGTGGGGCCTCCCCCATGGTTCCCCCCCC